TCAAATGAGTTCCCTTCCTAAATTTACTTTGCCAGCCACATTCGCATTATTTCGTGACATCCCTTGCAATTGAATCCATGTTACTGGACACGTAAAATAAAGTATAAGATAAGAGTTTGCAAAATAGAAGGAATCTTAGCTTTCAGTTTATTCACTCGTGCAGTTAGTTATCAAGTACAACAGGTAGACATGACATGCATAATTTCAAGGTTGTTCAAGTTATCGTCTATCCATCTCAGATTCTGCAACACTGTTTATCAGTTACTCATAAAATAGAGATTGAAACTTGAAAAGTGTCTAACATGTTGTGGTTTTGCAAACTGAATTCCTAATTATTTCCAGATACATTTGATCCTTGGCAACTTGTGCATGTTATCAGCAAATGTCGATGTTCTGACTATAATCTAACACCTTGAGTAGTGGAATGTATTTTGTGATATTCACAGTGCTTATTCAGTGTTAAAATATTCTTTATGATACTCCTACTTATACATAGATGGATATGAATGTAAGTACAGTGTCTCACGTTGTACTGGATTGTTTGACTGATATATCTACATATAACGTTTCATGCACAATAACCCAACAGATTTAAGTGCCTAAATTCGGAGATGCATGGTTGCAGTTTTGTGATAGTAGGATTATATTTCAATTCTTTACCTAATCAACAATCTCAAAGTGCATTTTGGCAACAACAAATGGTAATTTCTTATGAATTCTCATCAATGTCCAACGTGAATTCAAAATCTAATGAAAATCACGGAATCCTCAATCTGATGACTATTCTGTGCTTGTTTACAACACATCAGCAGTACACACCTGTTATTACACATGAACTCTAGATCAGAACAGTCAGTTGTAATGACGAACACTTGACCACTAGTCCACCGAGCAGAATTCAATCCTCTACGTATTTTGACAAGATCCAAACAAGCATCAAATATCTGTCTATTGCTACCGGATTCTCAATAACAGTCGTATCAAATCTCATGGATCCCTCTACAAACCACTTGATTACGTGAATAATGCAAGTCTATAGGAAGTCGAAATCATTTCTATCAATCAAGCCATTAACACAAATCTTATTTCATGAAGGAAATGGAGGACACCACTGTAGATGAATGCGATGTATCATGAGACAGATATGGAGTTTCATGATGTGACGTTGGGCAACAGTGGCACTCGAAACGGAAATTTACAAAATAAGCTTTACAATCTTTCCTGCCAATTACTCAACAAACTTAACTAGTCTCAGATACTACAACAAACGGAAATCATCAGTCTCTCCCGATCTGTCGACTGTTCATTAGTAATTATTCTCGTCCTTCTCATGATGAAGTTGAGTGTCTGTAGGTGGAAATAAAACAGAGTAGTTTGTAAAAACAACCTGAAATATTTTGTCGTTGTTCAACTCCTCTTCATTATATTTCCAATACTATCAGATCAAAATGGGGGTAAGGAAGAGATCTGTTGTATTCAGTGAACAACTACTCTGTTCAATATGTTTATTTGAATAATGTGAATGTGTGATTCTACACCGTAATACTCCACTACTCATTGAATCTTCCTTTACACAACCTGACAGGTTCGGTCTGTCAGGGTGGTCCAAACCGCAATCGAGCTGCTGTCCATTCCCACCATCCTCTCAATGATTCGCAAACCAACATCGTTCCATAATAGAAACTGCCTCAACCTCAAAACTGATCGAAACCAAAAGAATGCATGAAATTACATTCACACATGTTACACTAACTAACATGAGTTTTATGCAGTACAGCTCATGATAATATTCATATTCGAATAAGAGATCTCACGAAAAGAGGACGAAATCATATGGTCATTTGAAAATATTATCACTCGCATACTTCACATAGGTGTCAGTAATCACGGGAAAAGTATGTTGTTAGGACACATTTCAAACATATATGTATATAATAAGCTGATGCATTGAAGTCTTATCTTTGATTACGTTTTCGGTGAACATTCACCAATTTAATAGTAGGATTTATCGTAGAATTTATGTTACACTGCGAAATCGATTCACTTGAAATGTGCACATAATCGTCTTCACCATTATTCCAACACATTCTGTTCAGTCAGCTAAAACATGCATAGATCGGGACACTGTTCTGCATAGCTTGAAGAATATCCTCATCGGATTTACTTTGAGGTGAATTGTTGCTTCTCGAGAGGTAGTTTGAAGAAAACATAAACCCAAACATCTTCGTCGTTAAATGCGGTAGTAGAGAAGCTGATTAATTCGAGAAAACAACAGTTGGTAAGAAGCCGGTTGGCATTCACCTCGATTTCAATGCCACTGATACTGCGATTGTGGTAAAGTGAAGGCTATGAGCTGCACTGAACAGCGTCCTTGCTGCAACAAATCTGGTTTCCGTGTTTCCCACTTCTCGCTTGCTGTTCAATTCAGAAAATTGACTGTTACCTCTCATCTGTCACTTCCACTTGCGACAGTCACTTTAAACGTCACCCAAACAACAACTGAAACAACCAATTAGACTTCTCTATTTAATGCTTTCCCAGTGGAAATGGACAAATAAAATTGGCTATTTCGAGCGTTGCTCGGGTGGCGTTTAACGTCAGTCACCCCACAAGCGCGTGTCAACTCACTTATATCTGTGGGAGCCGTTACACTCGGAGAATAGAAAGAACTTCTTACCTTAGATATTTTGAGCATGTCCCGAAGACACTACGATTGATTGCAAAAAGTATTCTCAACAGTTCAATTCCTGAAGATCGAGTGAACACATGGCATCAAACGGACACTGCGCATTCATCCAAAGTGATCAACAAACAGACTAACTGAAACCTAAAACGCTCCATTGAAGTCACTGCAGTCAAACACCTGAAACCATGTTTATGTGTTTATAACGAATTTGTCGTCAATCTCCAACTACTCTAGTAAACTTATTCCCTAAAATTGGACATAATGGATTACGTCTTTCTGCTCTCATGGGATTTTCAGTTGACACAATCGAAAACCTACTCTTCTACCTTTAACTCAATATGTCCCTTTCCATTTGGCTCTGTGAATAACTCCAATCTAATCTGAGCACCGACATATACAATTTCTTGTTCCAAACAATCCAATATTCCCTATTCTAACTACATCTAATCTTTATGATAATTTTCGTTCTAGTCAGATACACATTTATGAACTCATCACACTGAACTAAACCATGCTAGTATTTTATTATAATTTGTTATTGCAAATACTCTCGGTTGTAAGCAGCTATTGAGAACAGCCAAAACAATAGAGTGAATCCATACTACTTATTAGGTCCCAATCTTGTTCTTGATACCGAGCCAATTTTTATCAGATAACCTGAGACTACATACGTACGTCGAATTGCACTTTCAAACATGATGATCAAGGTTGCATTGAAGGGAAGAGGGTGACTCTTAAAGCTTGGTCAAGTGCCCTGTGGTTTCATCAGGTGTGCATCCCATTGAGTGTTAAATCTGAAAGAGTTAGTGGTAGACTCAAGTAAGAGAGATGCATGAAACTCGAAATGTCGAAAATAAAACATTGAGCTTCAATGCCTTAGTGTTAATTGCAATAATGACAACAACAAATATAACAAGAATTACAACATTCAGATGCGGCGCATTCCTGGTCGAAAACTGCCAAACCATTCACAAAGCAATTCAACAACAACCAGCTGAGTAACCTACAAATAATCTTCAATGCAATCCATCAGCTCACTTCTCACACTAGCAAATTAGCTAGATGACCGTGAATCAGATCAGAGGTCATGAGTACAAAAGTGGTAAACAGCTGGAAGTAGGAAAGACTCATTCACAACAGAGAAATCGTCATTCAAAGAAGCGTGATCGTACGGTCATCAGGATGTTGCTACCAGTACAACATATCAGTGTGTGATGGAAGGAAGATAGACATGCATGATAGATATATTGAACACTGACGATGTCTCGATACTCAACTACCCGCCTTATTGAATGAAGTCGAATTGAAAACTGCCTGCCTCTAATTGTAATCAGTGGACTTTCCACTACGTAACCCGAAGGCTGTTGGTTAGAGCACTCAGTGAATCAAGCACTCTTTCATCTCCAGTTATTAGCCCGTATACACGCGTGAATAACAAATAATTAAGTATTACACTCCGTTCACATTCAAACAAGCCATGCCAGTTTCACATACGACTGAGTGTCTTTTAATTTCATTTTCTAGCAACAACAGTTTGTGAGTCTACCATAATTTTCGGAGTATCAGTGTCAAATCGAATACTTAAAATTATTCATTGATCAACTAGCCTTGTGTTCCACACTGATAGTCTTCTTCCATCCGCTTACCAATCCACCTTTCCGAATGGAATAATGAAGCAATAAGACGTCATAGTTCAGCTTTACAATCTCAACAACTTGCTGATCTCTTTCAGCCTTCAGTAATGTTCATGGTTTATCAAATTGTAATCCGACAAAAATATTATACGCATTTGTTTGTATATATATGAATATATAATATCTGTGTTGACTCAACATGACACATATATTATATTTATCGAGTATAACAGTGATTCTCTAACACTTTCACCTGGATTACCACAATACAGGAAAGCATGCACACTAGTTTTATATAACCACTTTTCAGAGTTTTATATTCTTCCAATATAACCATTACATTATTTATTGCAGTATTCTGATGAGTGTAATCGAGAATCGAAAAATAATTGATTACTATTCACATGATTTCGGTGATGAGTTTAGCCTTCAACATGAATTATTTTGTCTAACAGTAATCACAAGGCATTTCACACAATATATCCTCTTGATCATGTCCATCAAGCGGAGTAAGATGAGCAGGGATTGAGAGTGGAAAGTGAAAAGCAACCACAATATGATGTTTCTTGTCTATAATGAAACTCATGAAACAGTGGTTCTGTCTATTTAAACAGCTTTATTTCCACTGAATCTTGACATTATAAGGAGGAAATCTAGCTGAGACTATATATCATATACAGTGTTTAGTCATCATCATCATCATCATCATCATCATCATCATCATCATCATCATCATCATCATCATCATCATCATCATCATCATCATCATCATCATCATCATCATCATCCATCATCATCATCATCATCATCATCATCATCATCATCATCATCATCATCATCATCATCATCATCATCATCATCATCATCATCATCATCATCATCATCATCATCATCATCATCATCATGGTAAAATTGTCGCTCATAATAAATAATACAATGCAAGACAACAAGATAACGAGTACCACTCGAACTGAGATGGACATCTGTCTGTTGCGTTGCTTATGTGCTAGCACATTCCTTTCATTTTCTAGCACCGACCACAAGTGAGTCCGATATTTTCTGAAACATGACTCTTCCATTGAACGACTGTGTCGAATATGCACATGTATCGCTGATCTCCTCTCTCTCTCTCTGGTTTCATCAAGGCATAGATTTACTCTCACATCACTATTGCATCATCACATTTTACACAAGAAGGCAAAATCTCATTGTTTTCTCAATTCATGTACACATAACTTGCTTCATCAGTGAAAAATATTCTTCATATTATTTCTACTTCCTAATAGATGAATCTGAATGTAAGAATAGTATCTGACTTTGTATTTGATTGTTAGACTGATGTATAGAACTTCTTCATGCAAAGTAACACAACAGGTTTACGGGCTTGTGACCGATAAACAGGTCGATTCTCGTAGCAGTAAGATCTCATTTCAATTCGTTTCGTCAACAAAACTTTCAAGTTGCATGAGGTCAACCACAAGTGAAATGAATTTCAATGCAATTCTCATCGATCCACATTATAAATTCAAAACATATTGACGATCGGAGAACACACTAGTGACTATTTACTGCTTTGTGATTGCAGCGATCGGCCTCGAATTCGAGTCAAATGGGAAACAACACCACTGAATGAGAGGCAGGCGCAATCACATGCCAACTCTCGAATAGAACGGAACGCGTGTCCTCAATCCCACACCTACCCACCACCCATCAATAATATCAAAACTGAAAGCATCGTATTTCAACTGAAATCCATTGAAGTGTAACACTGATTCATTCACACTGAGCTCTTCGACTAATCTTACATCATTGTCAATCCACAGTTATACCACTGAGATTACACCATTCTCATTCAACCGACGATCTCCTACTCAGATATTATTATTATTATTATTATTATTATTATTATTGTTATTCAACTAATTGGCAAGCAACATTTCCAATACTACATCACAAAATGAAATAGGATAATCGAGTAACAGTCTCAACTCGACACAATTACTGACATGAACTGACTAGGAATGAGAATTATCAATCCCCTTGAATGAACTACCTAAATAGAGAAAACTTGAAACAGTTAACAACATTAGCATCACTTTCTTAGTCGTATTCCTCTCAGATAATCGAAGCGAAGGAAGAGATATGGGGAATGGAATGAAGGGAACAGTGTTAACTGCAACAAGTGAAAACCTTCATTTGTATTTCACTAACACTAGCTCATATTTTGCAAATTAAAAATCTAAATATTGACATCTTCAAACATGCTTGTACATTGATTGTTGCACTCAACTGCTAGTGGGAGCAGGTAAGAAATTAAAATTAGATTGTTTAACCGACTGAAAATGTTCTACATGACCATTGATTTACACACATATGTCAAATGAGTTCCCTTCCTAAATTTACTTTGCCAGCCACATTCGCATTATTTCGTGACATCCCTTGCAATTGAATCCATGTTACTGGACACGTAAAATAAAGTATAAGATAAGAGTTTGCAAAATAGAAGGAATCTTAGCTTTCAGTTTATTCACTCGTGCAGTTAGTTATCAAGTACAACAGGTAGACATGACATGCATAATTTCAAGGTTGTTCAAGTTATCGTCTATCCATCTCAGATTCTGCAACACTGTTTATCAGTTACTCATAAAATAGAGATTGAAACTTGAAAAGTGTCTAACATGTTGTGGTTTTGCAAACTGAATTCCTAATTATTTCCAGATACATTTGATCCTTGGCAACTTGTGCATGTTATCAGCAAATGTCGATGTTCTGACTATAATCTAACACCTTGAGTAGTGGAATGTATTTTGTGATATTCACAGTGCTTATTCAGTGTTAAAATATTCTTTATGATACTCCTACTTATACATAGATGGATATGAATGTAAGTACAGTGTCTCACGTTGTACTGGATTGTTTGACTGATATATCTACATATAACGTTTCATGCACAATAACCCAACAGATTTAAGTGCCTAAATTCGGAGATGCATGGTTGCAGTTTTGTGATAGTAGGATTATATTTCAATTCTTTACCTAATCAACAATCTCAAAGTGCATTTTGGCAACAACAAATGGTAATTTCTTATGAATTCTCATCAATGTCCAACGTGAATTCAAAATCTAATGAAAATCACGGAATCCTCAATCTGATGACTATTCTGTGCTTGTTTACAACACATCAGCAGTACACACCTGTTATTACACATGAACTCTAGATCAGAACAGTCAGTTGTAATGACGAACACTTGACCACTAGTCCACCGAGCAGAATTCAATCCTCTACGTATTTTGACAAGATCCAAACAAGCATCAAATATCTGTCTATTGCTACCGGATTCTCAATAACAGTCGTATCAAATCTCATGGATCCCTCTACAAACCACTTGATTACGTGAATAATGCAAGTCTATAGGAAGTCGAAATCATTTCTATCAATCAAGCCATTAACACAAATCTTATTTCATGAAGGAAATGGAGGACACCACTGTAGATGAATGCGATGTATCATGAGACAGATATGGAGTTTCATGATGTGACGTTGGGCAACAGTGGCACTCGAAACGGAAATTTACAAAATAAGCTTTACAATCTTTCCTGCCAATTACTCAACAAACTTAACTAGTCTCAGATACTACAACAAACGGAAATCATCAGTCTCTCCCGATCTGTCGACTGTTCATTAGTAATTATTCTCGTCCTTCTCATGATGAAGTTGAGTGTCTGTAGGTGGAAATAAAACAGAGTAGTTTGTAAAAACAACCTGAAATATTTTGTCGTTGTTCAACTCCTCTTCATTATATTTCCAATACTATCAGATCAAAATGGGGGTAAGGAAGAGATCTGTTGTATTCAGTGAACAACTACTCTGTTCAATATGTTTATTTGAATAATGTGAATGTGTGATTCTACACCGTAATACTCCACTACTCATTGAATCTTCCTTTACACAACCTGACAGGTTCGGTCTGTCAGGGTGGTCCAAACCGCAATCGAGCTGCTGTCCATTCCCACCATCCTCTCAATGATTCGCAAACCAACATCGTTCCATAATAGAAACTGCCTCAACCTCAAAACTGATCGAAACCAAAAGAATGCATGAAATTACATTCACACATGTTACACTAACTAACATGAGTTTTATGCAGTACAGCTCATGATAATATTCATATTCGAATAAGAGATCTCACGAAAAGAGGACGAAATCATATGGTCATTTGAAAATATTATCACTCGCATACTTCACATAGGTGTCAGTAATCACGGGAAAAGTATGTTGTTAGGACACATTTCAAACATATATGTATATAATAAGCTGATGCATTGAAGTCTTATCTTTGATTACGTTTTCGGTGAACATTCACCAATTTAATAGTAGGATTTATCGTAGAATTTATGTTACACTGCGAAATCGATTCACTTGAAATGTGCACATAATCGTCTTCACCATTATTCCAACACATTCTGTTCAGTCAGCTAAAACATGCATAGATCGGGACACTGTTCTGCATAGCTTGAAGAATATCCTCATCGGATTTACTTTGAGGTGAATTGTTGCTTCTCGAGAGGTAGTTTGAAGAAAACATAAACCCAAACATCTTCGTCGTTAAATGCGGTAGTAGAGAAGCTGATTAATTCGAGAAAACAACAGTTGGTAAGAAGCCGGTTGGCATTCACCTCGATTTCAATGCCACTGATACTGCGATTGTGGTAAAGTGAAGGCTATGAGCTGCACTGAACAGCGTCCTTGCTGCAACAAATCTGGTTTCCGTGTTTCCCACTTCTCGCTTGCTGTTCAATTCAGAAAATTGACTGTTACCTCTCATCTGTCACTTCCACTTGCGACAGTCACTTTAAACGTCACCCAAACAACAACTGAAACAACCAATTAGACTTCTCTATTTAATGCTTTCCCAGTGGAAATGGACAAATAAAATTGGCTATTTCGAGCGTTGCTCGGGTGGCGTTTAACGTCAGTCACCCCACAAGCGCGTGTCAACTCACTTATATCTGTGGGAGCCGTTACACTCGGAGAATAGAAAGAACTTCTTACCTTAGATATTTTGAGCATGTCCCGAAGACACTACGATTGATTGCAAAAAGTATTCTCAACAGTTCAATTCCTGAAGATCGAGTGAACACATGGCATCAAACGGACACTGCGCATTCATCCAAAGTGATCAACAAACAGACTAACTGAAACCTAAAACGCTCCATTGAAGTCACTGCAGTCAAACACCTGAAACCATGTTTATGTGTTTATAACGAATTTGTCGTCAATCTCCAACTACTCTAGTAAACTTATTCCCTAAAATTGGACATAATGGATTACGTCTTTCTGCTCTCATGGGATTTTCAGTTGACACAATCGAAAACCTACTCTTCTACCTTTAACTCAATATGTCCCTTTCCATTTGGCTCTGTGAATAACTCCAATCTAATCTGAGCACCGACATATACAATTTCTTGTTCCAAACAATCCAATATTCCCTATTCTAACTACATCTAATCTTTATGATAATTTTCGTTCTAGTCAGATACACATTTATGAACTCATCACACTGAACTAAACCATGCTAGTATTTTATTATAATTTGTTATTGCAAATACTCTCGGTTGTAAGCAGCTATTGAGAACAGCCAAAACAATAGAGTGAATCCATACTACTTATTAGGTCCCAATCTTGTTCTTGATACCGAGCCAATTTTTATCAGATAACCTGAGACTACATACGTACGTCGAATTGCACTTTCAAACATGATGATCAAGGTTGCATTGAAGGGAAGAGGGTGACTCTTAAAGCTTGGTCAAGTGCCCTGTGGTTTCATCAGGTGTGCATCCCATTGAGTGTTAAATCTGAAAGAGTTAGTGGTAGACTCAAGTAAGAGAGATGCATGAAACTCGAAATGT